GGAGCAGAGGAAGCTGCTGGAGAAGTGTGCCATGACTGCTCTGAGCTCCAAGCTGATCTCCCAGCAGAAAGCTTTCTTTGCTAAGATGGTGGTGGATGCAGTGATGATGCTTGATGATTTGCTGCAGCTTAAAATGATTGGAATCAAGAAGGTACAGGGTGGAGCCCTTGAGGTAAGCCTGCCGTGGCCTTCCTAGACAGCTCTTGCTTTCATATTGACCCTTCAGACAGCTTCATATGGCAGAAGGGTACTCATTACAGGAGTAAAGCAAATTCATGTTAGGCAAGAGGTCAGACTTACATTGTACTTCCCATACTGCTACTACAGGCTGTGACTATAAATAAACTTGGTAACCTGTGTGGATATTATTTGTTAGAAGAATAGAAAATGGGATTGATGATTTTCATAATCTCAGGTTCTTTTTGTCAGTGGATGGTGGGGAGGTAGTAGGACTAGCTCAAATAAATTATCAATGACCTCCCAATTAATACAACTGTGAGGGATTTTTCAGTTCACTGTTTTCTCCTAAGTGATATTGTTAAGCTCTCCCTTCTTTCCTTCATCTTGAATAGATATACATATTTCAAACTGTGAAGGGGCCTAAAGTTAAAAGTGTTTCATGAACTACCCCTGCCCCATATGCAGCCACTGCTAGTTTGTGTGTATCTTTGTGTGTAAACTGCTTTAGTAGCAATTTTTCATTTTCTCTTGGGCCTTCCGGCTTCCATAAATGCTTGAGATTAGATTGGCATCCACTAAACTAGAAATCAGAACTAATAATCTCATCTGGCAAGAAAGCCAGGGACTCTAACCCACACTTGTGTTTTCCCCAGATTGTCCTACGTTCGTTAAATACATACATGGAGGTGTGCAGGAGGAGACTTGAGATTTGGGAGTTGGGGCATAGAAGAGAGGGGGTAGCATTGCACTGCTTCTACCTTATTTGTAAACACCTACCTGGCTCCTCTTCTGGCATGTTTATGTAAACATGTATAGCATTATCCATTGGCTAGTGCTGCAGAGGCCAGTCTTGGAGGAAGCCCAGTAAGCCTTTATCATGTTTTGCCTCTGCTAACCAGATGATTTTCCTTATATTAAAGGGATACCTGAAATAATATGTTTTTTTTTTTAATTGATTTCTCTCAGATTTTATGATAACAGAAAGGCTTTGTTACAACAATGAATAAAGACATGATTAACTCGGGTTCACAAGAATGGATAAGCACTATCCAGCAAACAACTAGCTTGATTTTATTTCATGTTAATACCAAACTGTTAAATTGTTTGTTTTTCTAAAAACAGGATTCTCAGCTGGTAGCTGGTGTTGCATTCAAGAAGACTTTCTCTTATGCTGGGTTTGAAATGCAACCCAAAAAGTACCACAATCCGAAGATTGCCCTTTTGAATGTTGAGCTTGAGTTGAAAGCTGAGAAAGATAATGCTGAGATAAGAGTCCACACAGTTGAGGTAGGTGGGCCCACCAGTTGGTGGGGGCATGGAAATGGGCAGCTTTCTGAGCTGGAGCCCTGGGTCTTCATGGCTGGTATGGGTCTCTTTCTCTTCCTGCCTCCCTCAATATTGATGTCTAAATATTAGGCCTGCTTCTTTCCATATTCTGTGTTCTCCCTGAGTGAGCTTGACCTGAGGAAATTTTGATAGGAAAGACCTGTTGAAATATGCTCTGGCCCTGAGGAGGGGGTTGGCAGGGCCTCTCTAGCTACATAACCTGCCTGTATTTTGGTTCCTCTTGTTGGCACAGGTGTGAGTTCCTCCTCTTCTAGACTAGACCTCATGCTGCAGAGACAGGTGTGCTCTCATTGTTGCTATTACCCAGGCTACTTCTGGAGGTAGCCATGTCACCCACCTTTGAGTGATTCTTGGGGAAGGAATCTTTTTTATTTCCTTCGAGATGGAGTCTGTCTTTGTTGCCCAGGCTGGAGTGCAGTGGTGTGATCTCAGCTCACTACTTCCTCCTCGTCCTAGGTTCAAGCAATTCTCCTGCCTCAGCCTTCTGGGTAGCTGGGATTACAGGCATGTGCCACCATGGCCAGCTAATTTTTTTTTTTTTTGTATTTTTAGTAGAGTTGGGGTTTCATCATCTTGTCCAGGCTGGTCTTGAACTACTGACCTCAGGTGATCCCCCCATCTTGGCCTCCCAAAGTTCTGTGATGGCAGGCATGAGTCACTGTGCCCAGCCAAAGGGCTCCTAACTGTTGGGAATTCCATGAGTGCAGCACCTCAGAAGAGGCTAGAGCTCAGCCAGGTTAAACTGTTTCTCACATCTTGACAGCACCAGCTCTGGTTCTCAGCCTTGGGGTTACTTTCTGCTTTCGTATTAGGGGGTTTCAGGTGATTCCTAAGTCCATCTTACAGGGTCCTTGTTTGCTTGGACTGAGGAGTGGCTATTCTGTTTATCCCTGTTAATTCCCAGATAAATCAGGATGTTTTATTTGCGGGGGGCAAGTGGATGTATTTTACCCTACCATATATGTCAACTTTCACCCCAAAGCATTCTCATCCTTTTCTGGGTCTCCAGGATTATCAGGCGATTGTTGATGCTGAGTGGAACATTCTCTATGACAAGTTAGAGAAGATCTATCATTCTGGAGCCAAAGTTGTCTTGTCCAAA